CAACCACCGCACAACTTAAACAACACAACACACAAAATTAACACAACATAGACTTAAAACACACACACAAAACATTAACCACATCACATAGCTTAAAACACACACACATTAACACAGCACTAGACTTAAAAACACACACATTAACACCACAGACACACAAAACATTAACACAGCACATAGACTTAAAACACACACACATTAACACAAACACCACCACATTACACAGCACATAGACTTAAACACACACAACATTACACAAACACACACACATTACACACACATACTTAAAACACACACACATTAACACAAACACACACATACACAAACACACAAACACAAACACACCACATTAACACAGCACATAGCATTACAAACACACACATTAACAACAGCACAGTATACTTAAAAACACACACACATATAAACACAGCACATATACTTACAAACACACACACAGTTAACACAGCACATATACTTAAAAACACACACACATTAACACAAACACACACACATGAACACAAACACACACACGTAAACACATCACATACACATACACACACACAATTAACACAAACACACACACATTAACACAAACACACACACATTAACACAAACACACACACATTAACACAGCACATAGACTTACAACACACACACATTAACACAGCACATATACTTAAAAACACACACACATTAACACAGCACATATACTTCAAAAACACACACATTAACACAAACACACACACATTAAACACACACACACATTAACACAGCACATAGACTTAAACACACACACACATTAACACAAACACACACACATTAACACAGCACATAGACTTAAAAACACACACACATTAACACAAACACACACACATTAACACAAACACACACACAGATTAACACAAACACACACACATTAACACAGCACATATACTTACAAACACACACACATTAACACAAACACACACACATAAACACAAACACACACACATAAACACACACACACACACACTCCTGTAAACACAGACTGAAAACCAACAGTTGAGTAAACTCCGTTATCAAATCCCTGGGCCCCGCAGGTCAGAGGTCGGGTCCTGCTGTATATAGGGAATATCGGGGCCAGTTGGGTCCTACTGTATATAGGGAATACGGGGCCAGTTGGGTCCTACTGTATATAGGGAATACGGGGCCAGTTGGGTCCTGCTGTATATAGGGAATAGGGGGCCAGTTGGGTCCTACTGTATATAGGGAATACGGGGCCAGTTGGGTCCTACTGTATATAGGGAATACGGGGCCAGTTGGGTCCTACTGTATATGGGGAATACGGGGCCAGTTGGGTCCTACTGTATATAGGGAATACGGGGCCAGTTGGGTCTGCTGTATATAGGGAATACGGGGCCAGTTGGGTCCTACTGTATATAGGGAATACGGGGCCAGTTGGGTCCTACTGTATATAGGGAATACGGGGCCAGTTGGGTCCTGCTGTATATAGGGAATACGGGGCCAGTTGGGTCCTACTGTATATAGGGAATACGGGGCCAGTTGGGTCCTGCTGTATATAGGGAATACGGGGCCAGTTGGGTCCTACTGTATATAGGGAATACGGGGCCAGTTGGGTCCTACTGTATATAGGGAATACGGGGCCAGTTGGGTCCTACTGTATATAGGGAATACGGGGCCAGTTGGATCCTACTGTCTATAGGGAATACGGGCCAGTTGGGTCCTACTGTCTATAGGGAATACGGGGCCAGTTGGGTCCTGCTGTATAGGGAATACGGGGCCAGTTGGGTCCTGCTGTATATAGGGAATACGGGGCCAGTTGGGTCCTGCTGTATATAGGGAATACGGGGCCAGTTGGGTCCTACTGTATATAGGGAATACGGGCCAGTTGGGTCCTACTGTATATAGGGAATACGGGGCCAGTTGGGTCCTACTGTATATAGGGAATACGGGCCAGTTGGGTCCTGCTGTATATAGGGAATACGGGGCCAGTTGGGTCCTGCTGTATATAGGGAATACGGGGCCAGTTGGGTCCTACTGTATATAGGGAATACGGGGCCAGTTGGATCCTACTGTCTATAGGGAATCGGGGCCAGTTGGGTCCTGCTGTATATAGGGAATAGGGGGGCCAGTGGGTCCTACTGTATATAGGGAATACGGGGCCAGTTGGATCCTACTGTCTATAGGGAATACGGGGCCATTTGGGTCCTGCTGTATATAGGGAATACGGGGCCAGTTGGGTCCTGCTGTATATAGGGAATACGGGGCCAGTTGGGTCCTACTGTATATAGGGAATACGGGGCCAGTTGGGTCCTGCTGTATATAGGGAATACGGGGCCAGTTGGGTCCTGCTGTATATAGGGAATACGGGGCCAGTTGGGTCCTACTGTATATAGGGAATACGGGGCCAGTTGGGTCCTACTGTATATAGGGAATACGGGGCCAGTTGGGTCCTGCTGTCTATAGGGAATACGGGGCCAGTTGGGTCCTACTGTATATAGGGAATACGGGGCCAGTTGGGTCCTACTGTATATAGGGAATACGGGGCCAGTTGGGTCCTACTGTATATAGGGAATACGGGGCCAGTTGGGTCCTGCTGTATATAGGGAATACGGGGCCAGTTGGGTCCTGCTGTATATAGGGAATACGGGGCCAGTTGGGTCCTACTGTATATAGGGAATACGGGGCCAGTTGGGTCCTACTGTATATAGGGAATACGGGGCCAGTTGGGTCCTACTGTATATAGGGATTACGGGGCCATTTCAGAGGCAACCACTTTAGCCCACATGGCATCATCCTATTCATTATATAGACCACTACCTTTGACCAGAACCCAGGGAATAGGGCTCCATTTGGGAAGACCCCAGTGTGTCTCAGATTTTTTAATTCATAGATTTTAGATGTGTATGTACAACGCTGTACTGTAAATGTCTATATATACACAGTGCATTCGGAAAGTATTCAGACCCCTTGACTTTTTCCACATTTTGTTACGTTACAGCCTTATTCTAAAATGGATTAAAAAAAAAAAAATCCTCATCTATCTACACACAATACCCCATAATGACGAAGCAAAAACAGGTCTTTATATATATATTTTTAAATGTATTAAAAATAAAAAACAGAAATACCTTATTTACATAAGTATTCAGACCCTTTGCGATGAGACTCTAAATGGAGCTCAGGTGCATCCTGTTTCCATTGATCATCCTTGAGATGTTTCTACAACTTGATTGCAGTCCAACTGCGGTAAATTCAATTGATTGCCAAGAGTGTGCAAAGCTGTCATCCAGGCAAAAAGGGTGGCTTCTTTGAAGAATCTCAAATATAAAATATATTTTGATTTGTTTAACACTTTTTTTGGTTACTACATGATTCCATATGTGTTATTTCATAGTGTTGATGTCTTCACTATTATTCTACAATGTAGAAAATAGTAAAAATAAAGAAAAACCCTTGAATGAGTAGGTGTGTCCAAACCTTTGACTGGTACTGTATGTATATATATATATATATACTTATGTCTCCTCCCCCTACCTCCTGGGTGACATCCTGGCTGGCTCGTTGGTACTCTATGTATATATATATATACCTCCTGGGTGACATCCTGGCTGGCTCGTTGGTACTCTATGTATATATATATATACCTCCTGGGTGACATCCTGGCTGGCTCGTTGGTACTCTATGCGTTGGACGGTCTGGACGGTCTGCAGGGCCAGGCCGCAGTACACGGCAAAGTCCTCCAGGAGGCGCTCTTCATAACGGTTAAACTCCCTGCCCGTCTCCGGCTCGCCAGGGGCCACGCCCAGTTTGTTCTTCAGCTGGCAGACGGCTGAACGACGACAACGACAACGACAACAACACAACAACAACAACAACAACAACAACAACAACAACAGAGGGATGGATGAAAGGTGTTAATAACTTTATTTATTTATTTATTTATTTAATGACGATTCATAACTCAATCTTACACTGTATTGTCCTGCCCAGGGCCTGTATTCATAGAGCGTCTCAGAGTAGCCGCTGATCCAGGTTTTGGCCTTTTAGATCACGATGAATAAGATTACATAGACAGGTGGGGACCTGATCCTGGATCAGCCCTGCTACTCTGAGATGTTACGAGGATGTGCTTCTGTGGTGTGTAGATCAGGTGATGGTTAAGGCTCTGTCTATCTGTGGTGTGTAGATCAGGTGATGGTTATTAAAGGCTCTGTCTATCTGTGGTGTGTAGATCAGGTGATGGTAAAGGCTCTGTCTATCTGCGGTGTGTAGATCAGGTGATGGTTAAGGCTCTGTCTATCTGTGGTGTGTGGATCAGGTGATGGTTAAGGCTCTGTCTATCTGTGGTGTGTAGATCAGGTGATGGTTAAGGCTCTGTCTATCTGTGGTGTGTAGATCAGGTGATGGTTAAGGCTCTGTCTATCTGTGGTGTGTAGATCAGGTGATGGTTAAGGCTCTGTCTATCTGTGTGGTGTTAGATCAGTGATGGTTAGGCTTCTGGTCCTTCTGTGGTGTGTAGATCATGGTGATGGTAAGGCTCTGCTATCTGTGGTGTGTAGATCAGGTGATGGTTAAGGCTCTGTCTATCTGTGGTGTGTAGATCAGGTGATGGTTAAGGCTCTGTCTAGCCAACAACCCTGCTAAGTACCCTGGCTGACGCACTCTAAAAGGTTAACACCTTGCCTAATGCTGCTAATACTCAGTCAGCTATTCATTTAGAAGACTTCCTAGTAAATACAAGATTATCTACAGCCGAGATTATCTACAGACTTCCTAGTAAATGCAACATCCTCTACAGTCAAGAGTCTCTACAGCCAAAATAATCTACAGACTTCATAGTAAATACAAGATTATATACAGCCAAGATTATCTACAGACTTCCTAGTAAATACAACATTCTCTAACCAGATATTCAGCCAAGTTATCTACCACTTACACAGACTTCCTAGTAAATAGAAGACTCTATAGTAAAAACAACACTAATCACTAGCTCCTAGTCCCTAACCATCTGAAATAATGATCAGAAACAACACTCTACAGCCAGTAAATACAATACTCTCATCAGCCAAGATGATCTACAGCCAAAACTTCCTAGTAAATACAAGACTCTTTAGTAAATACAATACTTCCTACAGCCAAGACTCTCTACAGTCCTAGTAAAAAAATATTCCTAGTCAGTAAACACAATTCTTCTATCAGTAAATACATAATCCTTTCATAAATACAATACTTCTAGTCGTAACAACTCCTAGACATTAAATACAATTCTCCTATCATAATACATATCCTGTCAGTATAAATAACTTCTAATACAAACTTCCTATCGTAAATACAACTTCCTATCATTAAAACAAACTTCTATATAACTACAATACTTCCATCAGTAATACAATCTTCCTAGACATAAATACAATCGTCCATTCAGAAAACAAACTTCTATTATTAAATACAATCTTCTATTCATCAATACAATACTCCTAGTCATCAATACAATCTACTATTCAATAAATACATACTTCCTATTCAGTCAATACAATACTCATATCAGTAATACAATACTTCCTATTCATAAAACATATTCTAGTCAGTGAAATACAATACTTTCTAGTGTAAATACAATATCTCCTATTCATTAAATACAATACTTCCTAGTCAGTAAATACAATATCCTATTCATCAAATAACAACTTCCTATCAGTCCAATACACTACTTCATATTCAGTAAATACAATACTTCCTATTATTAATACATATTCATGTCAGTAAATACAATACTTCCTAGTCATAAATACAATACTTCCTAGACATTAATGCAATATTTCCATTCAGTATACAACACTTCTAGTCAGTAAATACAATACTTCTAGTCAGTAAATACAACACTTCCTAGTCATAAATACAACACTTTCAGTCAGTAAATACACCACTTCCTAGTCAGTAAATACAATACTTCCTATTCATTAAATACAATACTTCCTAGTCAGTAAATACAATATTTCTAGTCATTAAATACAACACTTCCTAGTCAGTAAATACAATACTTCCTATTCATTAAATACAATACTTCCTAGTCAGTAAATACAATACTTCCTAGTCAGTAAATACAATACTTCCTAGACATTAAATGCAATATTTCCTATTCAGTAAATACAATACTTCCTAGTCAGTAAATACAATACTTCCTAAATAAACACTTCCTAGTCAGTAAATACAATACTTCCTAGTCAGTAAATACAATACTTCCTAGTCAGTAAATACAATACTTCCTAAATACAATGCTTCCAATTCATTAAATACAATACTTCCTAGTCAGTAAATACAATATTCCTAGTCAGTAAATACAATATTTCCTAGTCAGTAAATACAATACTTCCTAGTCAGTAAATACAATACTTCCTAAATACAATACTTCCTAGTCAGTAAATACAATACTCCATAGTCAGTAAATACAGTACTTCCTAGTCAGTAAATACAATATTTCCTAGTCAGTAAATGCAATACTTCCTAGTCAGTAAATGCAATACTTCCTAGTCAGTAAATGCAATACTTCCTAGTCAGTAAATACAATACTTCCTATTCATTAAATACAATTCTTCCTAGTTAGTAAATACAATACTTCCTAGTCAGTAAATACAATACTTCATAGTCAGTAAATACAACACTTCCTATTCAATAAATACAACTCTATCAGTAAATACACTACTTCCAAGAATTAATGCAAATTTCCTATTCAGTCAAATACAATACTTCCTAGTCAGTAAATACAATACTTCATAGTCAGTAAATACAATACTTCCTATTCAATAAATACAATACTTCCTAGACATTAAATGCAATATTTCCTATTCAGTAAATACAACACTTCCTAGTCAGTAAATACAATACTTCCTAGTCAGTAAATACAATACTTCCTAGTCAGTAAATACAATACTTCCTAGTCAGTAAATACAATACTTCCTAAATACAATACTTCCTATCAGTAAATACAACACTTCCTAGTCAGTAATCAATACTTCCTAGTCAGTAAATACAATACTTCCTAGTCAGTAAATACAATACTTCCTAGTCAGTAATCAATACTTCCTAAATACAATACTTCTAGTCAGTAAATACAATACTTCCTAGTCAGTAAATACAATACTTCCTAGTCAGTAAATACAATACTTCCTAGTCAGTAAATACAATACTTCCTAGTCAGTAAATACAATACTTCCAATACAATACTTCCTAGTCAGTAAATACAACACTTCCTAGTCAGTAAATACAATACTTCCTAGTCAGTAAATACAATACTTCCTAGTCAGTAAATACAATACTTCCTAGTCAGTAAATACAATACTTCCTAATACAATACTTCCTAGTCAGTAAATACAATACTTCCTAGTCAGTAAATACAATACTTCCTAGTCAGTAAATACAATACTTCCTAGTCAGTAAATACAATACTTCCTAGTCGTAAAAAATACTTCCTAAATACAATACTCCTAGTCAGTAAATACAATACTTCCTAGTCAGTAAATACAATATTCCTAGTCAGTAAATACCAATACTTCCTAGTCAGTAATACAATATTCTAGTCGTAAAATACAACCTGTCGAACGCTTTAGTGTGGATGTGGTGCAGGGAATCAAGCGCAGAACACGGGTTTTTAGTATCCAAAATAGTAACTCAAACAGGGGAATACCACCCAACCGGGAGCATGAACAAATTCCAAAACAACAGTGCGTAACAGAAAAGGCGAACACGTCTAGTGCGGACTCTCGACACAACCACGAAGAGAAACCATCAACTCACAGCTGACATAACAATACACCATAACACTTGACCCAAACACGTAACTAAATAGGAAACAAAATCAAACACTAACAAGGGACGGTTGTACAAACGAAAAACAAACAAATGAAAATCGAACGTGGCAGCGAGTACTCGGGCACGACCGCCGAAGCTGCCAACAAGAGGCAGGAGCAGCCTCGCGAAACGTGACAAACACTTCTCAGTAAATACAACACTTTCTAGTCAGTATATACAAGAATTCCTAGTCAGTAAATACAAGACTTCCTAGTCAGTGAATACAACACGTTCTAGTCAGTAAATACAACACGTTCTAGTCAGTAAATACAACACATCCTAGTCAGTAAATGACAATACAACACACCCTAGTCAGTAAATACAACACTTTCTAGTCAGTAAATACAACACTTTCTAGTCAGTAAATACAATACTTTCTAGTCAGTAAATACAACACTTCCTAGTCAGTAACTACAAGACTTCCTAGTCAGTAACTACAACACTTCCTAGTCAGTAAATACAATACTTCCTAGTCAGTAAATAGAACACTTCCTATTCAGTAAATATAATACTTCCTATTCAGTGAATACAAGACTTCCTAGTCAGTAACTACAACACTTTCTAGTCAGTAAATACAATACTTCCTAGTCAGTAAATAGAACACTTCCTATTCAGTAAATATAATACTTCCTATTCAGTGAATACAAGACTTCCTAGTCAGTAACTACAACACTTCCTAGTCAGTAAATACAATACTTCCTAGTCAGTAAATACAATACTTCCTAGTCAGTAAATACAATACTTCCTAATCAGTAAATACAACACTTCCTAGTCAGTAAATAGAACACTTCCTATTCAGTAAATATAATACTTCCTAGTCAGTAAATACAAGACTTCCTTGTCAGTGCATAGATCAGTAAATAAAGACTGAAGAGCCAGTAATCCGCTGGTTTAAGACGTACTGATATCAAGATCTCTGCCTCGACTATCAACAACGACTAACAGCGTGCCTCTAACAACCACAGAAGAAGAAGAAGGACTCCCTACACCAAACAGAGGCACCCGACTCTTACTACTGCATGTGGAGCAGGTTGAGAGCGTCAAGTTTCTCGGTGTCCACATCACCAACGAACTATCATGGTCCAAACACACCAAGACAGTCGTGAAGAGGGCACGACAAAGCCTATTCCCCCCTCAGGAGACTAAAAAGATTTGGCATGGGTCCTCAGATCCTCAAAAAAGTTATACAGCTCCACCATCGAGAGCATCCTGACTGGTTGCATCACCGCCTGGTATGGCAACTGCTCGGCCTCCGACCGCAAGGCATCTACAGAGGGTAGTGCGTATGGCCCCAGTACATCATGGGGCCAAGCTCCTGCCATCCAGGACCTCTATACCAGGCGGGTGTCAGAGGAAGGCCCTCAAAATTGTCAAAGACTCCAGCCCACCCTAGTCATAGATGTTCTCTCTGCTACCGCACGGCAAGCGATACGCGGAGCGCCAAGTCTAGGTCCAAAAGGCCTCCTTACCAGCTTCTACCCCCCAAGCCATAAGACTCCTGAACAGGCTAATCATGGCTACCCGGGACTATTTGCACTGCCCCCCCCACCCCCACCCATCTTTTACGCTGCTGCTACTCTGTTTAATTATTATGCATAGTCACTTTAACTCTACCAATGTACATATTACTTCAACTACCTCAACTAGCCGGTGCCCCCGCACATTGACTCTGCACCGGTACCCCCCCTGTATATATAGCCTCCCTACTGTTATTTTATTTTTACTTCTGCTCTTTTTTTCTCAACACTTGTTTTGTTTTATTTGACTTTTTTATCAAAAAATAAATGCATTGTTGGTTAAGGGCTTGTCAGTAAGCATTTCACGGTAATGTCTACACCTGTTGTATTCGGTGCATGTGGCAAATAAAATTGATTTGAATTGATTTGATTATAGAATTCATGCTGTTGTTGTCAATGGAATTCTATAGTAAGGTTAAAGTTATATAAACATAGCTGTATAAAAAAGACTGTAAACTAGAAAAGATACATGTGAAATGGAGAAAGAGCGACGCACCGATGATTTTCCCTGTCTTCCCATTTCTGATCGGGCAGCAGACCAGACTACCCGTGGGGGGGTCCTGATCGGCGCCGGACACGTTCAGTGTCTCCTTGGAGACCAGCACCTGCAGGGCGTGGGTCAGGTCTATGTCTGGGAGGGTACAGTCTCTATGGAAACACAGAAATATAGTGATGCTACGGTCTCTATGGAAACATAAATATAGTGATGCTACAGTCTCTATGGAAACACAGAAATATAGTGATGCTACAGTCTCTATGGAAACATAAATATAGTGATGCTACAGTCTCTATGGAAACACAGAAATATATTATTACATTAACCACTCTGAAACACATAAAATGTCATGCTACAGTCTCTATGGAACCAGAATCATAGTGTGCTCAGTCCTTGAAGCACAGTAAATAAGTGCTGATCTGAGCCACAGTCCAATCAGTCGATCAGTGTAACCACATTCCAAATAGGTGCTGATCATGCAACAGCCCCATGACCCAAAAGTCGATCAGTGTAGCCACCAGTCCCAATAAGGTGCGAATCAGTGCAAGCACAGTCCAATAGTGCGACATTAACCATCAAACATAGAAAAATTGTCCACTGCTGATCAGTGCTAAGCCACCAGTTCCCAAATAAGGTGCTGATCAGTGCAAAGCCACCAGTCCCCAAATAAGGTGCTGATCAGTGCAAAGCCACCAGTCCCAAATAAGGTTGAGACATTCAGGTAACTTTCCCCAAATGCCCATGTGATCCAGAAGATCCGGTTGGAAGATTCCTGGAACCAGGAAGGAACAAGGAGCAAATTCAGGAATCCTCCAACCAGGATTGTTTGGGAAAACCTGGGAATGTGGAGAAAATGACTGGTATTTTGCAACCTTTCTCCCAATTTAAATATATTCCTATTTGCTCCTGATATCTGCACGGTTTTAGTACACCAAGACCGTCCCAAGTCGACTAAATCAAAAAGAGCAGTTATGTCTTAAACACATCCCTATGGTCTAAATCATGTATACACAAACTGACACAAAACACGGCCGTCGGTGGAATGATACAACAGTGATACGAGAGGGAAGAACCTTCTAGAACCTTTTATAGATCTGGAACTCTGATCCATGTTCTTCTCCCTCCATATGGACCAGCCCAGAGAAGGAGTTCTAGAACACAACAGAACAATAGAACACGTCAACAAGGTTGTCCGTTTAAACAATAGACCATTAGTAACAACACACAGGGGGGTAGGAATGGAAGAAAGTCACTCTGGAATCCTTCAATACGAACGCTAAAATATTAAAATGATTTCACTGGTTCCGCTCCCAGATTCCCCCTCCATTTCCAGCCCTGTCCTGACAACACATACACTAGCCTGGTGAATCCAGAATGAACGCTACGTTCCATATCTTTTAGATCTGCTTTTATCAGTCTGGCCTTCGAGCCAACAGATGGGGTTTTGGAATGAACCAGAAAACGGCTGGTCCAATCAGCGTCCGAACAGAAACGAAAAGTGTTTTACGACCAAAACCAGACTGATAAGCCAAGCAAAGAAATAGTAAAAGTGGTGACCATGCTGGATCCACCCAGCTAACACAATGCTGCAGTCAACTAAGACACAAATAAAGTTATGTCTTGTGTTTTAAAAAACAGAACATTATTTATTGTGTTTTATAAACCAGAAAGTTATTTCTTGTGTTTCATAAACCAGAAAGTTATTTATTGTGTTTTGTGTTTTAAAAACCAGAAAGTTTTGTCTTGTGTTTTATGAACCAGAAAGTTATTTATTGTGTTTTGTGTTTTAAAAACCAGAAAGTTTTGTCTTGTGTTTTAAAAACCAGAACGTTTTATCTTGTGTTTTAAAAACCAGAAAGTTTTGTCTTGTGTTTTAAAAACCAGAAAGTTATGTATTGTGTTTTACAAACCAGTGTAACTGAAAGCTTTAGGGAGAAAAAACAAGGTAGGTATTTTGTGATAATATTTTGAAAAGAAGCACGGCTTATTTAGTGCTGGTGCTTACCACCGACGCCTTTAGACTGTTATCCTCCTCGTATAGTTGGGAAAGTTTAGACTAAAAAAACAACAGCAGAAAACTGAGAACACAATCAAACCTTAGACTGCTATTCACCATATGCTCCCAAAAGTAATTATATTGATTATATTGAAACCTATCTGATCATTACTTCAGATCTACATGGTAGGGGTTAGGAGCTAGTGGTTAGGGGTTAGGAGCTAGTGGTTAGGGGTTAGGAGCTAGTGTTTAGGGGTTAGGAGCTAGTGCTTAGGGGTTAGGAGCTAGTGGTCAGTGGTTAGGGGTTAGGAGCTAGTGTTTAGGGGTTAGAAGCTAGTGGATAGGGGCTAGGAGCTAGTGCTTAGGGGTTAGGAGCTAGTGTTTAGGGGTTAGGAGCTAGTGCTTAGGGGTTAGGAGCTAGTGGTCAGTGGTTAGGGGTTAGGAGCTAGTGTTTAGGGGTTAGAAGCTAGTGGATAGGGGCTAGGAGCTAGTGCTTAGGGGTTAGGAGCTAGTGGATAGGGGTTAGGAGCTAGTGGTTAGGGGTTAGGAGCTAGTGGTCAGTGGTTAGGGGTTAGGAGCTAGTGTTTAGGGGTTAGAAGCTAGTGGATAGGGGCTAGGAGCTAGTGCTTAGGGGTTAGGAGCTAGTGTTTAGGGGTTAGGAGCTAGTGCTTAGGGGTTAGGAGCTAGTGGTCAGTGGTTAGGGGTTAGGAGCTAGTGTTTAGGGGTTAGAAGCTAGTGGATAGGGGCTAGGAGCTAGTGCTTAGGGGTTAGGAGCTAGTGGATAGGGGTTAGGAGCTAGTGGTTAGGGGTTAGGAGCTAGTGGTTAGGGGTTAGGGATTAGGAGCTAGTGGTTAGGGGTTAGGGGTTAGGAGCTAGTGCTTAGGGGTTAGGAGCTAGTGGTTAGGGGTTAGGAGCTAGTGCTTAGGGGTTAGGAGCTAGTGGATAGGGGTTAGGAGCTAGTGGTTAGGGGTTAGGAGCTAGTGGTTAGGGTTAGGAATAGGAGAGCTAGTGGTTTAGGGGCTAGGAGTCTAGTGTTAGGGGTTAGGGTTATGCTAGGGGTTAGGGTCTAGTGGTAGGGGTTAGAGCTAGTGGTCAGTGTTAGGGGTTAGGGTTAGTGGTTAGGGTTAGGGGCTAGGAGCTAGTGGTCAGTGGTAGTGGTTAGGGGTTAGGAGCTAGTGGTTAGGGGTTAGGAGCTAGTGGTTAGGGGTTAGGATTAGGAGCTAGTGGTTAGGGGTTAGGAGCTAGTGGTTAGGGGTTAGAAGCTAGTGTTTAGGGGTTAGGAGCTAGTGGCTATGGTGGGTTAGGGGTTAGGAGCTAGTGGTTAGGGGTTAGAAGCTAGTGGATAGGGGTTAGGAGCTAGTGGTTAGGGGCTAGGGGTTAGTAACTAGTGATTGGGGGTTAGGGGTTGGGAGCTAGGGGTTAGGTTGTTAGGGTGGCTAGGGTAGGAGCTAGTGGTTAGGGGTTAGGATTAGTGGTAAAGCTAGGGTTAGGGCTAGGGTTAGGAGCTATTGGGGTTAGGGGTTAGGGTTGGGCTAGGGGTAGAAGCTAGTGGTTAGGGGAGGGGTAGTGTAGATTAGGGGTTAGGGGTTAGGAAGGGTTAGGGGGTTAGGGACTAGGGGTTAGTAGCTAGGGGCATAGAGATAGGGGTTAGGGACTAGGGGCATAGGGTTAGGGGCTAGGGGCTAGAGGCATAGGGCTAGGGTTAGGGTAGGGCATAGGTTAGGGGTTAGGGGCAAAATGGTTAGGGTTGGGGTGGGGTGCATTGGGTTAGGGCATAAAGGCTAGGGGTTAGTGCTAGGGCATGGGGTTTAGGGGTAGGGCATAGGGTAGGGGGTTAGGGCATAGGGCTAGGGTTAGGGGCAAAAGGGCTAGGGGTTTAGGGCTAGGGCGGTAGGGGCTAGGGGTTGGGGCTAGGGTTAGGGGGCATGGGCTAGGGTTAGGGCATTGGGCTGGGCAAGGGCTAGGGGTTAGGGGCATTGGGCTAGGGGCATAAAGCTAGGGGTTAGGGCTTGGGGCCATAAGGGTTAGGGGGTTAGGGCTAGGGGTTAGGGGCTAGGGTTTGGGGCCATAGGGTTAGGGTTAGGGGAAAAGTAGGGCTAGGGTTAGGGGCAAATAGGGCTAGGGTTAGGGGCAGTAGGGTTAGGGGTTAGGGGATAGGGCTAAGGGGTTAGGGGCATGGGGGGTTTAGGGGTTAGGGGTTAAGGGTCAAAAGGTTAGGGGTTAGGGGTTAGGGGCATAGGGTTAGGGGTTAGGGGCATAGGGCTAGGGGTTAGGGGCATAGGGTTAGGGGTTAGGGGCATAGCTAGGGGTTAGGGGCATAAAGCATGGGGTTAAAGGGCATAGGGTTAGGGGTTAGGGGTTAAGGGGCATAAACTAGGGTTAGGGGTGGGCTAGGGGTATAGGGTAGGGGTTAGGGTCTAGGGGCAAGTGGGTTAGGGGCTGGGGGCATTAAGCTAGGGGTTAGGGCTAGGGCTGGGGGTTTAGGGTTAGGGCATAGGGTGGGGGCATAGGGCTAGGGGCATATGGGGTTAGGGGGCAATAGGGTTAGGGGCAAAGGGTTAGGGCATAGGGGTTAGGGGTTAGGGGCTAGGGGCATAGGGTTAGGGTTAGGGGCATAGGTTAGGGTTAGGAGGGCATGGGGGTTAGGGGCTAGGGGGGCATAGGGTTAGGGTGGGGTTGGGCTAGGGGTTAGGGGTTAGGGGTTGGGGGCATGGGGTTAGGGGCATGGGGTTAGGGGTTAGGGGTAAGGGCTATAGGGGTTAGGGGCATAGGGGTTAGGGGTTAGGGGCTAGGGGCATATGGTTAGGGGTTTAGGGTTGGGGGCATAGGGCAGGGGCTAGGGGCATAGGGTTAGGGTTGGGGGCTAGGGTTAGGGGTTAGGGGTAGGGGCTAGGGTTAGGGGCAAAATGGGGTTTAGGGTGGTTAGGGTTAGGGGAAATTAGGGTTAGGGGCATAGGGGGTTAGGGGTTGGGCTAGGGGCTAGGGCTTAGGGTTAGGGGCAAGGGTTAAGGGGGTTAGGGGGTTAGGGGGGCATGGGGGTTAGGGCTAGGGGTTATGGGGTTAGGGTTAGGGGCATAGGGTAGGGTTAGTGGCATAGGCTAGGGTTAGGGCATAGGGTTGGGGTTAGGGGCTAGGGTAAGGGTTAGGGCTAGGGGCTATAGGGTTAGGGTAGGGGTTAGGGGCATAGGGTTGGGTTGGGGTTCTAGGGCTGGGGGTTAGGGGGTTAGGGTAGGGTTAGGGGAAATAGGGTTAGGGGTTAGGGGTTAGGGGTTAGGGTTAGGGTTAGGGGTTAGGGGCATAGGGGTTAGGGGTTGGGGCATAGGGTTAGGGGTTAGGGCTAGGGTTAGGGTTAGGGGCATAGGGGTTAGGGGTTAGGGGCTAGGGCATAGGGGTTAGGGTTAGGGGCATAGGGCTAGGGGTTTAGGGCATAGGTTAGGGCTAGGGGCATAGGGTTAGGGGTTGGGGGCTAGGGCTAGGGTTAGGGTTGGGGGTTAGGGGCATAGGGTTTAGGGGTTAGGGGCTAGGGGCATAGGGGTTAGGGTTAGGGGTTAGGGGGTTAGGGCATAGGGTTAGTGGGTTAGGGGTTAGGGGGCAATAGGGTTGGGGGTTTTAGGGTTTAGGGGCATAGGGTTAGGGGTTAGGGGCTAGGGGCATAGGGTTAGGGGTTAGGGTTAGGGGTTTGGGGGCTGGGGGTTAGGGGTTAGGGTTAGGGCATGGGGTTAGGGGCTAGGGTCATAGGCTGGGGGTTTTGGGGCATAGGGGCTAGGGGGTTAGGGGTTGGGGGTAGGGGTTGGGGGCATAGGGTTAGGGGCATAGGGTTAGGGGCTAGGGGGTCATGGGGGTTAGGGGTTAGGGGTAGGGCAAAGGGGTTAGGGGGTTAGGGGCTAGGGCTAGGGTTTAGGGGTCTAGGGCTAGGGTTAGGGTTGGGGCATAGGGTTAGGGGCTGGGGGATTAGGGGAAATGGGGGTTAGGGGGGGTTAGGGGCTAGGGTTAGGGGCATAGGGTTAAAAGGGCTAGGGGTTAGGGGTTAGGGTTGGGGGTTTGGCATAGGGGTTAGGGGCTAGGGGTTAGGGGGTTAGGGCTAGGGGCATAGGGTTAGGGGCTAGGGGCATAGGGTTAGGGCATAAGGGGCTTGGGGCAATAGGGTTTTAGGGGAAATAGGGTTTAGGGGTTAGGGGTTAGGGGCATAGGGGTTAGGTGCTAGGGGTTAGGGGGTTAGGGCTGGGGCATAGGGTAGGGGTTTAGGCATAGGGTTAGGGCATAGGGCAGGGCAATAGGGTTAGGGCAAAGGGGCCCATAGGGCTAGGGTTTGGGGCATAGGGTTTAGGGCATAGGGGTTAGGGCATAGGGGTTAGGGGCATAGGGGTTAGGGTTAGGGGCAGGGGTTGGGGGCATATGGTTAGGGGCATAGGGTTAGGGCATAGGGGTAGGGGTTGGGGTAATAGGGGTTTGGGTTAGGGGCATAGGGGTTAGGGTTGGGGTTAGGGGGTTAGGGGCATAGGGGTTTAGGGGATTAGGGGTTAGGGGCATAGGGCTAGGGTTTAGGGCATAGGGTTAGGGGCTAGGAGGGCATAGGGTTTAGGGTTAGGGGCAATAGGGCTAGGGTTGGGGGCATAGGGTTTAGGGCTAGGGCATAGGCTAGGGGTTAGGGGCTAGGTGGGTTTGGGGGGGGCATGGGGTTAAGGGGTTGGGGTTAGGTGGGTTAGGGGCTAGGGATTGGGGTTAGGGCATAGGGGCATAGGTTGGTGTGGGCCCAGAGTTGTCAAAGAAGAACAGGCATTTTTTCCCCAAACTGTCACTGTAATAGGGAGACTGTCTTTCAATAAGGAACAGGATATGACATCATGGTGCTGTGTACCTTGGGTCTGTCCCTGGCGATGAAAATGGTACAGTACTGAGCACGTGCGAAGGGCAGGATGGTGGCGGCCATTTTGCCCAGGAGATTCTCCATCGACTTCTGTTCCTAGCAGACAGCCTGGCCATCAGGTCAGCAACACCTGACAACACACCACACACAACGCAACAAACACACACAGACACACCCGAACACACACAACACACAATAAACAACAAAGACATAGACACAAAACAGACCTGGCAATAGATATACACGTGGTGGAGTGATGATTGATTGAATGATTGATTGACACGTACCTGGCAGCGGTTGGCTTCCTGTCTGGAACTTTCAAAGAGCTGAACATTGTCCAGGACCAGCCCGAGCAGACCCATGTGACAGGCCAGGACCTATCACAGAGCAGAGGCACTCATCAACAGCCAATCACCCAGTACGGATGCACACATTAACATCCGATCACATGCAGTCACTCATCAAGAGCCAATCACAGGTCGGAGTACCTCAATCACAGCACAATCACGATGTAATTTCCAAAACAAATCTAGCTAGGACGAGCCAATCAACTAGACAGGTATCACCCCTAACAGACCACTACTCAGACCAACAATCCTCCACTCAAAATGTCCAGTCATAACTACACCTAACCCCCCACCCCGACACACACACACACAACCTTCTCATCCTGGTCTGTGAACAGAGAACCCTGGTCATCAGCACTGATCCTCTTGTTCAGTCTGCTCTCAGAGCATGCTGCCAACACTCGAACCTAGAGGAGAAAGAGAGGGAAGGGGGTACGGGGAGAGAGAGAGGACAGGGGGAGAGAGAGACCAGGAAGAGGTTTTTTTTCTCTCTCTCTCTCTTTCTCGCCCCCTCTCTCTCTCTTCTCTCTCTCTCTTCTCAGCTTGATTCGCCATTTGCGTTGTTTCCCTAGTTACCCGGGATTAATATAGTAATTTCACTTTTATGTACTCTGCTCTAGGTTATCATCTTCTGTCTGCTGGCGTGTGGGGGGGTTACATTTCCAGATTTGTTCGCTCTCTCTCTCTCTCTCTCCTCTCTCTTTTTCTCTCTCTCTCTCTCTCGTCTCCCTCCTCTCTCTCTCTCTTTTTCTCTCTCCTCTTCTCTCTCTCTCTCCCTCTCGCTCTCTCTCTCTATTTATTTCTCCGCGCCTCTCTCCCTCTCTCTCCTCCTCTCTCTCTCTCTCTCTTCTCTCATCTCTATCTTAATCTTTTTGGATTTTTTTCTCTCATCTTCTTCTCCTCTCTCCACGTCCCTCTCTCTCTCTTTCTTCTCTCCTCTCTCTACGTCTCATATCCTTCTCTACTTCATACTATTTCTTATCTCGTCTCTGCTTCTCCTACCTTAACCGTCTCTCTCTCCTTCTGTTGCCGGTCCTTGCTCTCTCCTCTCTCCCTACTCTCTCTTCTACACTCCCCCATTTACCTCCTCGCAACCAATCCTTTCTTGTCTTTTTCCCTCCTTCTCTCTGTCTCTCTCTATTTCTTTCTCCTCTCTCTCCCCCTCTCTCTCTCTTTTTCTCTTCCTCCTTTTTGCCGTCGTCTTCCTTTCGCCTATCTTCCCCCATTCCCAGACTTCCACGAATTGAATGAATTGAAATTAGAATTAGCCTGAACCCTGATGACATGGCTTGCTTCCCAAATGGCACCCAATGTGCTCTCCAGTTATTCAGTGCACTACTTTAGTCCAGAATGGTGTGAGGGGTGTAGGGTGCCATTTGGGAGGAACCATGATGTTCTGCCCACACTGTTCCCTGTCCTCGCTGTTCCTTCATAGGGACACTCAGGACACTCTTGAGTTTGAAACCTGACGTCTGGTCCTCGTCTGTGTTGAACCTGGGGTCCTGGAGGAGAGGCAGAACAAACTATTTCATTTTTTATTTATTTTACATTTATTTAGTAGATCGTCTAACACTCGGGATAACGATACGGCAGTTACGCCCACCTCCCCCCAAACTCACATTCCCCACCTCCCCCCCTACCCTCCCACCTTCACCACCCCCTCCTCCTCCTCCCCCCCATCCTCCCCCTCCACCTCCCGCCGATCGCTCCCACCTCCTCCCTCCCCCCCTTCCCTACCTGTCCCACCCTCCTCCGCCCTCCTCCCCACCCTCCCCCCCTCCCTAAACTCTTCCCCTTCCCCCTCCTCCCTCCCCCCTCTCTCCCCCCTGCCCCCTTCCCCCTTTCCCTCGCCCACCCCCCTCTCCTGCCCCCCTCACCCCATCGCCCCGCGGCTTCCCCGCCCCGTCCCCGCACATCGACCTCACCGGTCACAGGGACGCAGGCCATGACACCTAGGACCCCGCTAAGTGTTAGGGCCACCGCTACGATCTCTCGACAAGAAACGAGCGATCCTGGACCCACACTCAGCCGTCCTCCCCCTTTCCCCGGCCTTATGCCCCTCCCCCCTGAGCTGATTACATAGGCCCCAACACCGAGAAGAGGGACAACCGAGTGATTCCTCCCAGTACCAGCCGACGAGGCGGAAAGGTCCACTAAGAGACCCCCTCCTACGACCGGCGAGGGCCCCGGCCCTACCCCGTCCCCAACTCGGCTGCTACTCGCCCAGTTCAGCCCTCACCTCCGCGGCCTTCGTCAGCGGCCATAGTCCACTTCCACCGCCGTCCCTCCCTTGCCTCTCACTCCTCCCACATTACCCCCACTGCTACCTACAGATCCTTTTTAATCCTTCGCGCCCCTCCCATCTAAACCCCCTCATCCCCAGGAACGATAACGAAGGGGAGTTCCCACCCGTTCCCGCGCCAGCTCCTATCCGCCCCCAGGTCCGTCTACACCAAGACGACGATCACCGCACTCCCCTACTCTACCACCTTCCCCGCTATCGTTCCCCCCTCCCCAGTATTCCAACCGCGTCCTCCCCCGACCCTCAGGCCGCCGCTCACGCTCGAGCGCCCAGACCTCCCAAACACGTCCAACCCGCCCCCGAACGTCCCGCCGGGTGAGACATAAGAGAACACCTTCCTCCCCCCCGAGGACTCCGTCCTCGCGTCACTTGCACAACGCGCCCTCTTTCTCCGCCCCTCGCCCCCCCGCATTGTCGCTGGACATAAAAATACAGGTGGCAACGCAAGTCTGGCCCAAATGTGACAAAGAAAGGTATGGGCAGACGCGGAGCTTAAGGAGGAAGAACGGTACGCCCGAACTGTCCCGCTGTTCCCACCTCAATGTGCTCCAGCGCCCGTTCGTGTCCACCTACCCTCACCCCCATCCCCTGCGCACACACCGACGAGAGGGGGTGGAGCGGCATTGGTGACTGTCGCAGAAGCCATAGGCAAAACAGAAAAAATTAAGGAAAGCGGTAGAACATGCCCCGTCCAAGCTTGTCCCTTCAGCCACCGGGAGTAGCCTTACAGACGGGGCTTTTTGAATCAAGCAAATGGGTGGTGGTATGGTGCAAGTGTACGCAAAGTAGAGAAAAGGCGCTGAAGGCCTAAATACCTCCGTCCCAGTACACCCTCACTCCCATGCGGACCGAGTTGAGAACGCCGGTGTCCCTGCCCGACGGGGGGACCATCTTCCTCAGCATCCCAGAAACCTGCCGCTCCGCGCCTGCCGTCAGCCCCCCGTACCCTCTGTCCTTCGGCACCCCCCCAATTCCCCTCACATCCTCCACGCCCCCCAGGCGAATCCCGTGCTCGCCCCTTCCGAGTCGCTAACGCCTATGGGAAGTAAGGGGGGAAAAACGTCAAGGGGGATAGACGAGTCTCCTCGCAAGCTCAGAAAGGGCACGCTCAAAATCTCGAAGAAGATCGCTTGGTAGGGGTCGCACCGAACCAGCTGACGCAGGCGCTGCCGCGATAAGGCGACGCGGCCGCCATACGAAAGCAAGTCCGGTAGGCTCGAATGATCACCCCACTAAACGTTCGAGCCGGTGGAGAAGGACCTAGCCATGAAGGGCCCACTGATGAGAAGAGGGAGCCCCCACACCAAGGTGATCCACCCGTCTACATCGTCCTCCCGCCTCGTAACGGCACTGCCAACGCTGTCACTCCCCTTCCCAAAAAGTCCTCCACCACTACCACAGAGCCTGAAACGCGTTGACTGGCCACGTTCGAACAACTCCGCCCCCCTCACGCGCTTCACAGGCAACCGGGCGGCCGTCCCCGACCAAGAATGCAAAGCAAAGAAAGGAGATACCCCCCCGCTAACCGAGGTCAACCCATCACGCATCGCCGGCGGTCCGACAACAAAAATGCAGAGTGTACCATTACCCCCCACGTTCCCCCCTCACCTCCCCGCCCAAAAAACAGCTGCACCGGCCATTACCCCCCAGGCTCCTCCTCGCTCGCGGCCCAGAGAGGGGTCCCCTGACCTACTGGTTAGCCCCCGTCGATGTCCCCCTCCTCTCCCCACCAGGGAAACGGGCGAGGCACGGACCCGACCCATCACCCAAGCTCTCACCCAGGTGCGTGAGCCACCCCTCACGCGCGTTATCTTCCTGGCGTTCTCCTCCTGCCTTCGCGCCATCCCTCCCTCACCTCACAGTCGCTCTCGCCCCCCATCCACTGCCCCCTCCCAGCTACGAGATCATTTCCCACCCATGACGGACTAGGTATGCCCACAAAAACGGCCCCCTTTCACCCCCGCCCCCCCCCCTCCCCCCCCGCCCTCTCCTCCCCCCCCCCCCCAAACCTCTTTTACCCCCCACCCCCCCCCCCCACCAAAACCCCCCCCCCCCCCCTCCCCCCCACCCCCCCTCCCCCCCCCCCCTTTTCCCTTCCCTTCCCCCCTCCTTCCCCCCCCCCCCCTCCCCCCTCCCTCCCCCCCTCCCCCCCCCCCCTCCCCCTCCCCCCCCTTTTTCCCCCCCCCTCCTAATCCCCCCCCTCCTCCCCCCTCCCACCCCCCCTCCCCCCCTCCCCCCTCCCCCCTCCTTTTTTCTCCCTCCCCTTTCCCTCCCCTCTCCCCCCCCCGTATTCTTTCCATCAAACTGGATAGGCCTTATTTCCAGCTCAAACCCGAGTACCCCCGAGGGGAGAACCAAAAACCCAACACCCCCCCGCCAGCCAGAGACTTCCCAGCTCTACCAGAAGGTAAAACCCGAAGGACACAACCCCGCCACCAGAACTTCCCAGCTCTACCCCCGAGGAAAACCCCAGAAGGAGAACCAACAACCCGCCGCCGCCAGCAAATTTCCCAGCTCTACCCGAGGTAAACCCCAGAGAGGAGACACACACCGCCGCCAGCCAGAGACTTCCCAGCTCTACCCGAGGTAATCCCCAGAGAGGAGACACACAAAAACACCCCAACCAGAGAACTTCCCAGCTACCACCCGGGGTAAACCCCAAAGGAGACACACAACACCCCGCCACCCAGAGACTTCCCAGCTCTAACCCGAGTAACCCCAAGAGGAGACCCAAAACACCCGCCCCCAGCCAAAACCCTTCCCGCTCTCCCAACCACCCGAGGTAAACCACAGAGAGGACACACACACCGCCGCCAGCCAGAGACTTCCCAGCTCTACCCGAGGTAAACCCCAGAAGGAACACCACCCGCCAGCCAGAACTTCCCACTCAAAACCCGAGTAACCCCCAAGAGAGAAACCACCCCCAAAACACCGCCGCCAGCCAGAGACTTCCCAGCTCTACCCGAGTTAATCCCCAGAGAGGAACACCAAAACCGCCGGCCAGCCAGGGGACTTCTCCAGCTCTACCCCCGAGGAAAACCCCAAAGGAGGAGACACAAACCCCCCCGCCCAAAGACTTCCAGCTTTACCAGGTAATCCCCGAGAGAAAACCACCGCCGCCAGCCAGAGACTTCCCAGCTCTACCCGAGGTAAACCCCAGAGAGGAGACACACACCGCCGCCAGCCAGAAGCACACACCCGCCGCCACCAAAGACTTCCCAGTCTACCAGAGGAACCCCAGAGAGGGAACACAAAACCCCCGCCACCGAGACTTCCCGCTCAAACCCGGGGGTAAACCCCAGAATGAGACACACAACCAGCCGCGAAAAAGAGGATTTCCCCGCTCTCCCGGAAAACCAAAGAGGAGACCAAACACCCCGCCAGCCAAAAGACTTCCCGGTCTACCAAGGTAACCCCGGGTAGAGAACAAACAACCCCCCCCCAAGCCAGAGATTACTTCCTGATAAGGGAGTTACAAACTCTGGTTTTCTCAGGTTGAAACAAAGGGGAGGAAGGAAGAGGAGGTGTGGGGTTCCCTCCTGTCTTGTCTGTCTGTCTGTAGCCTACTAAAGGGCTGCTTCTGTCATTTAGCCTAATAAAGGGCTGCTGTCTGTCGTCTTGTCATGTAGCCTAATGAAGGCTGCTGTCTGTCATTTTTAGCCTAATGAAGGCTGCTGTCCTGTTCTGTCATGTAGCCTAATGGGCTACTGTTTTTGTCATGTACCAAATAAAGGCTGCTGTCTGTCTGTCATGTACCTATGAAGGCTGCTGTCTGTCT